GTGTGTGTGTGTGTGTGTGTGTGTGTGTGTGTGTGTGTGTGTGTGTGTATGTGTGGGAATATGTGTGTGTGTGTGTGTATGTGTGTGTATGTGTGTGTGGGTGTGTGGGGAGTGTATGTGAGTGTGTATGTATATGTATGTGTATGTGGTGTGTGTGTGTGTGTGTGTGTGTGTGTGTGTGTATGAGTGAAGACAGGAGGACCCCTGGGGCTCACTGGGCAGCAAGCCTAGATAAATCATGAGCTCCAGGCTAATGAGACACCTTGTAAAAAAAAAATAGTGGATAGTTCCTGAGGAACAATACTCAAGGATGACCTCTGGCCACCTCATGTATACACATACATGCGCCCATATGAACACCCTCTCACCAAATACACACAATCTGGTCAATTCTTCTTCAGCTCTTCTTCCTTCTGGACTCTCTCCTGCCAGCCTGAAGTACAGCTCTGTGATTTCCTCGTGACCATCTCCCCAGACCCACTGTCTCTATATGATTTTAAAAACAGTTCATTGAGAGCGATTTTATATACTATTTATTCACTTGTTTAAAATGTATAATCCACTGGCTCAGGGCATATTACATTATTATGTTATTAAAGTTATGACCCACTTATATAAATTTTTCCCATTTTAACTGATTTCCAATGTACAACTCAGCGCCTTTAATGTGCTGTTACCACATATTCCAGAATTAAAAAAAAAAAACACCACCAAAGAAGTTCAAATAGTCATTAAGCAATAACTCCTGACCCGTCTCTCTCCAACTCCTGGCCTCTAGCCGACATTCTGCCCTGTGACCCTGCTGACTAGACACCTCCTGTAAGTGGACTCATATTGCATTTGTCCTTCTGCATCTGGTTAATTTCTCTTAGCATAATGTCTTTAAGGTTCATCCATGTCTCAGCATGTCCCAGAGCAACTCTCCGTTTTATTGCCAAATAAAATTCTGCATTGTTATCCCTTGATCTATCGATGGGCGCATGGATTGCTTCCATCGTCTGGCTACAAATCCTGGTAATGAATCCGGATTATTCATTACCGGATTAGTGCAAGTATCTACTTCAGTCACTAATTTTGGTTTTCTGGGGTGCATTCTCTATGAAGATCTCCCTTTCATCTGAGGTATGATACCACTATGCACTTATGCTGACTCACACTTGCAATCCTCCTGCCTCAGCTCCTGAGTGCTGGGATTACAGGCATGCACCATCACTTCCAGCTAGACAAAGCATTGATACCTCCAGTTCCTTCGTGCTCATCTGCCACAGGACACCCCTCCCTTTCCCCAGTGTTGGGGAATCAAACTCAGGGATTTGAATAATCTAAGCAAATGCCATTGAGTTAATCTCTAGGCCTTATCAATAACCACATCTCTACCAATAGATAGATGTCAGACTACCTCGCTTCTCTATTCACAAACCTTCGACAGTTTGACATCAAGATGTTCACTGAGGTCTAAGAAGATGATTCGGCCCATAAAGCACAAACATGTGAGTATGATCCCCAGAATGCATTCGATAAAAGACACAAGGTAAATAGCTTGTAATCCTTACACAGAGTGGTAAAGAGATGTAGGTCCTGGGGCTCACTGGCCAGCTTGCCTAGCCTTCTTGATGAGTTCCAGACCAGTGAGAAACCCTGTTTCAAAAAGAAAAACAAGTGGATGGTACCTGGAAAATGACCCTCCATGTGCATGCATACATGTGTACCCCACATGCATACCCATCAGATAGACACACACATGCTTAGCCAAGCCTTCAGAAACTGAGTTGGCGCCTCTCAGAGTCTCCAAGGTGGGAGACTTCCATCTTCTCTGCCTACTTCTCTGCTCCAGACACCCTAGGCTTTCCATCATCCTTCCGTGAAGACATGCCCCTCTCAGATTTTAACCTTCAGCTCTATCTTTCTTCACTATTATTATTATTAATGTGTACATGCATATGTATGCATATGAGTGAGGAGACAGAGACACCGGATTCCCTGGAGTTATTTATAAGCAGTTGTGAGCTGCCACATGTGAGTGCTGGGAATTGAACTCAAAAACAGTATGTGCTCGAAACCACTGAGCAGCTCTCCAGCTCAGGTTCCTCTTGCTGGTCACACACCTCCAGATCACTGGTCTTGTTGGCTCAAATGTTGTAGTCAACTCTTCCTGTCTTTTCCATCTGTCTAACGATAAACATTTCCCTAATGTCTTCACTCCCTGCCCCCAGCCTGCCTCTCAGTTCCCTGTGCTCTTTTAGTCTCTTGTTTTTGTGACGATTCACTTGGTGTGGTTGGTCCAAGGTCTTTTCTTCCCTGCTGTAATGGCGCGAGGAAACGCCTGTGTGTCTCAGCCTGCCTCACACATGCCTCCTGGGTTACCTGATCACAGCCTGACAATACGAGGATGCACTCACAGTGTCAGTGGCATCTGGAAGCCTCTACAGCCCCAGCAGCACAATGCTGCCTGCCTCCATCTCTCAGGGAGCGTGGGTCCCTTCCTGTGTCAGCATCTTCATGCCCTGCCAAAGAACCAGGCACACACTGGTAGCTAATCTAGATCTAGATGAGAGGGTAAGATAGAAGGCACAGGAGAGACCCCAGGTTTGTGCACTCTTTCTCCAGTGGTCTTTGTGAGTTGACAACCTTATCTGCTCTCCCAGTCTCAGTTACCCAATGTAAGATGTTCACATTAAACTTCTATCCCATGATTATTGAGGCTGTGTTTTCTAAAAATTTTTTATTCCCCCTCCCCTGAGGCTGTGTTTTAAAAAAAGATGTGTGTGTGTGTGTGTGTGTGTACGCACGCGCGCGCACGTGCCTGTGCCTGAGGAGGCCAGACTACAGTTCGGGTGTCCCCTGAGAGATTCAGGATGGTTGCAAGCTGCCAACGCTGGGTGCTGGAATCTGAACTAGTGTCCTCTAGAAAAGCAGCAAGCTCTCTTAAACCTCTAAGCCATCTTTCCAGCCTATGGCTGTGCAAACTTGGACTCTCCAAACACCGATATTTAGCATTTTCTCCCCATCCTCAGGGTCTCCATTTAGCCGACCTAGCCCCTGCAGGATGTGTGGCTGTCATCCTCCTTGAATCTAGTGGTCCAGCTCTGAGATAGTGCCACAGGGAGGCAGAGCGTCCTCGTGCTCTGCTGGCCCGGCCTCAGCTCCCAGTGTTGGGAGGGGCTGGAAGCCTGGACCCGCCCTTAGGCCTTGTTATCTACGTTTCCGCGTCAGGCGCTGGGTGAACTTGGCAAGCCCTGCGGGCGGTGGATGGGGAACACTTTGTGCCGAGCGCCCGCCCGCCCAGCCCTCCTCCTTCCCGCCGGCGCCGCGGGGCCTGGACGCCTGCGTCGTAGGTCTGGGGTCTCGAAGCCAAGTACCTAGCACCTGGCCCGCAGCTCTGGACGCCCACTTTTTGTCCCCAGTGTCGTCGCCATCTATTGGTCTACGGGTGTCCAAATGCGTGGACACCGTGCGTAGTCAACAGGGTCGTATAGATGCCTTGGCCCATTTTAAAACAAAGCTCAATTATAAGCGCTCAGCGGCTGTTTATTCCAGCCCAGTTTCAGATCCCCGAGAGCTGCTGTCAACTAGTACCCACAGGAAGCTCCATCCCGGCAAAAAGAACCCGGCTCGGAGCCTCGTGACTGGTTTGAGACTATCAGCTCGTTCAAGTCCGGACTGCTAGAGCCTAGGCAGGTCACTGTGTGGTGGGCAGAAAGTTGAGGGCCCAGTCTCTCATTCAGTGTAGTAGGACCTACTGCGTGCTTGCTGGCTGCACATCCAGCGCTGAAGGTGGGAGGGACGGTAATGCCTCTATCTCCGGGACCCCCCCCCCCCCAATCTTCCCATGATCTCCGCTCCGCTCTGGCCAGGGCTGTACTCTGCTGCGTTAGTTTTAAAGTGCGTCACGGACGGGCACCGGCCGTGCTGCTCCACCGACCTGGGTGAGGCTGGCGCTCGGCCAGCGCAGGCTGGGCCAGCAGCTCTTGGCCATCACCCCGCCTAGAGACCCGGGCGTGGAAAGCGCTCAAGTTGCGCAGCCTGGGGATCGCTGCTGAAGACGCTCTCCGCTAGGGGCTCGGCGCCCCCCAACCCCCGATCGGCCTCGGCAATGCTCCGGGGCACGAGGTGACATCCCCTAGACTCCCTAGGCTCCCTAGGTTCGCGGAGCCAGGGAGATTTCTTCAGAAGAATCCACGCCGCGGCCTCCCAGAGATCCTCGCCCCGCCCCGGGTCTCCGCCCCCTCCCCTTGGCTGGGGATCCGGGACCCGGCGGCGACCGCCTAAGAAGCTCCAGCAGCCTGGACCAGGAGGCGGTAGGTGGCCCGGAGCCGGTGGCTACGGACTCGTCCCGCCATGTGATGCGGTCCTCCTGCCTGCGATCGCTGCGCCAGCGCCCGCGCCCAGCTGCGCCGCGCATCATGCTCCTGCCGGGACACCCGCGCCCGCTGCCCGCGCCCCAATCGGCGCAGAATCCCGGCCTCCGCAGGCAGGTAGAGCCTCCGGGACAGCTTCTGCGCCTCTTCTACTGCACGGTCCTAGTGTGTTCCAAAGAGACCTCGGCACTCACCGATTTCTCTGGTAAGAGCGCCCTTGCTTCCCTTTAGCCCACATTCCCTGAGCTGTTGCCCAGGTGAGCGGCCTCTGCGTGGGACACGACCTGGTTGGATTAAAGTTGAAGTGTTCTCCCTAACCCGTTCTCTTGCCTGGTGGGAGTCTTTAGCATCTAGGTGGTGGTAGCAGGAGAGCCACCCCTTATTAAGGCCGGACCTATTTCGAGTTTCTCGAGGTTCTCTTGACTTTTGTTAGTTTCCTGGGCATCCGTGACTCAGCCCTGACCTTTATATGTTCACTAGAGGACCCCTAAACTGAGCCCCTGTACCACGCCCAACTCTGGAAGATTACAGTGTTCTGGATGAAGAGTTGTACTTGGCTGGCCACCCACACGATAAGGGTGCGTCCCAAGCAGACTCCAGGGTACCCATGTAAGGAGACTAGTCCAGGGCACGCTGGACCTAAAGTCCAAGCCAGCCTCCAGGGAGGGAGCCTGGGAAGACTGGAGGTCTGGTGGTGATGCCTCGAGACTGTTAAAGCTGGCAGAACAGAGACTTAACACTCAGAGGCGTGACTCTCTAGCAAAAGTCGGCAGCACTCACCCCCCCAACACACACACACACACACACACACACACACACACACACCACACACGAGAGAGAGAGAGGGAGAGAGAGAGAGAGAGAGAGAGAGAGAGAGAGAGAGAGAGAGAGAG